TATATATATATAAATATATATTTTAAACACTTGCAATTTGTTTTTCATAATATGTAATGTAAAAGTGAACAATAATGACCTCCTCTGCCCTCTGGCACATGGATGAGTAAATCTTCCTCTCCTGGAGGTGAGTCTTCCTCATAATCTTCTATTCGCTGATACTCCTGGTACGTTTCAAAGCCAGCCATCGTGTTTTACATTCTAACCTCTCTATAATGTTCACCATAGGTCCTGAATAACAGATTTAACATTATAGGGGAATTAGATGTGACAACATACTAGAAACATCAGTCATACACTGTGCAAATAAACAACAAGAGCAAAACCAGCTCAAACTGACTAAGTTCACTGTACTTACAAGACTGTTATTGTCTCTTTTCTGATAAAATCACAATCACATGGTCAGTTTCTAAACAGATGAGTCAAGGACAGACTCGAGTGCATCATTACAAAGACACAAGTTTTCTTCACAGATAACGATGGCGTACAAATGTATACATTATTAGTGAATGTTATTATATTTAACCATGTTATGCTGTGTCTGCAAACGGGAGAGTGTTTAACAGTTTAACAACCTCATGCTGACAAAACTGCTCGTTGTTTGCTTATATCAATTTCTTTATTGAAAACATTTATATTAAAAGATTACAGAAAGGATTTTAACACGTAAATCGCTAAATTGGTCTCACCATCCGAGCAGAGATGATCCTCGCCTTTGCTCTTCACAACAAAAACAGATATCACAACAAACAGCGCCTGGACACTTCCGTCACTTCCGGGGAGACTTTTATCCTGACATGTAATGTAAAATGTATTAATACAATATTTATTGTACTTGTGTAATATGTACTTTTGCTGGAAGTGTTTGCACTATTGTTATTTTTATTAAAAACTTTTATTTGAATATGCATAATTTTCAATTTAAAAAAAATAAATAAAACATGAAATTTCCAAGAAGTGTATACGTTTTAAATTAGTCTCTATTTTCGATCCTTGTTGGTTATATTTAAGTTCTATTTAATCAATTTATCCTGCAAAAGTAGTAAATCTTTGACCAACGGACGGTTTTAAACAAAACAAAAATTATATGTAAATATATATCATTTAAAATATTATATACATTTATTTATTTATACATTATTACCATTTATAATCAATAATAAAATATAAAATGTGTGTTTAAATTAAAATCGGGAAAAAATAAAGGGTGCGTGCAAATTAACATTCATTAAACATGTACAAATGTCATTACAAAAGGAATATGAATTAAAACAATAGCCAGTGATATGAAAAAAAAAAAAAATTATTTATGCTAATACAAAAACAGCGAATGTGTTTTCACGCAGCGATGACGTACAGGGTTAGCGTGGGCACGCCGGGAATGGGATTGCGTAAACATGGCGGCCTACATGTAAATCCTTGAATGAATTGAGCTTTCTTTCGTTCTTCTTCCTGCTGGCATTTCAAAACACTACAACAACATGTTTCATTTTGCACGCTGCAGTCGAGTGACACGCGGCACTGTCACGTCAGATCGACTTTTGAACTTCCAAAAAACAAGAGATTTCACGATCCACCACCTTTATAGGTACACGATATTTATCTTTGTTTATTATATTAGATTGAAACTATTGTCTACACAGTAGTCATTTTCAAATTCATCTGTCTGAGGTCATAAGAAGATTTGTTTGCATTTCATTTTGCATATAAACACAACTGATCGTATATGTAATCAAACACACTGCATGTGTGGAAGTAGGTTGTTTAAGCAATGCAGAAGGTGATTTATGACATCTTATATAGATGTCTTAAACTAAAGAATAAATATTGTACGATAGTCAGTATGCTATGCCCTTTGTGAAAAAGAAGTACACTTTAGCACACTTTTCATTAAGTGGTATCATGCAACACTGTACTTTTCCATTATCTCTTGTATTTTAGGCGTGGCCAGCATACAGTACCATGGAGCAGTTCACAAATCCCATCCACACAGATCACTGTCAACATTCCTGCTCGCATATGGAGACAAGCTCAAAAAGTGCTCCGTCTAGCATCCAGACAGCAGCCCAGACCACCAAACATCACTCTGAAATTCGTATTAGGACCTGCTGCTTTGACAGTGACCGCACGCTTGCTTGGTACTGTAGCTCACTGTGAAGCAGATGTGAACAATAACGTCCCGCTGGAAGTTCAGGCGAAAGAGAAGATTCCTGAATTCAGCTGGGCCATCCTGTGGGAGTTCGTTCGGCCCCAACTTCTTGCTCTTATAGGAGCCATTATCGTAAGTAAACAATTAATCTATTAAGCGAAGTTAATTGTGGGTTTTTTTGGCCATATTATGAATAGTTTGGTTTATTGTGCAGTGATATCTCTGTCATGTCCTCTTTCAGCTTGCGTTTGGAGCAGCAGCCCTTAATATTCAGATTCCTCTGATGTTGGGGGATCTGGTGAATGTCGTCGCTCGCCACATGAGAGAACAAGCAGGTCATTACATGAGAGACATTAAAGCACCTGCAATGAAGCTGCTCGGACTGTATGGTTTACAGGTACGTTAAGTCACACAGTCAAGCTCTATGAGCAATATTTGACATGATTAATCATTTCTTTTGCAAAATAAACTTTTATTCGTTTTATTCAACTTTCTATTCATCAAAGAATCCAGAAAAGAAAATGTATAACAGTGTCCACAAAAATATTAAGCAGTACAGCTGTTTTCAACATTGATAATAAATATAAATGCTTCTTAAGCAGCAAATCAGCATATTAGAATGATTTCAGAAGGATCATGTGACACTGAAGACTGGAGTGATGCTGCTGAAAATTCAGGAACAAATTACATTTTAAAATATATTCAAATTTAAAAAAAAAAAGATGTTTTTTTTAAATTGTAATAATATTACACAATGGTAGTATATTTGTCTTTATTTGTCTTTCAGGGTCTGTTGACCAGTGGCTACATCATTCTTCTGTCTAGAGTTGGAGAGAGAGTGGCAGCTGACATGAGGACAACTCTCTTCACCTCTTTGCTTCGGTTTGTAATACAGTTTTTGTTTTAGATGTTTAAAGTGCTGAAACACATAGGGTATTAGAAAGACTCTTTCTAATCATCTTGTCTAAATGTCATGTTACAGACAAGATGTTGCATTTTTTGACGCAAACAAGACCGGGCAGCTGGTTAATCGGCTGACATCAGACATCCAGGAGTTTAAATCTTCCTTCAAGTTGGTTATTTCTCAGGTAGGATGTTTTAGACGAGAGCAAGTGTGTTTTAAAGGGATAGTTCACCCAAAAATGAAAATTCTGTCATCATTTACTCACCCTCAGGTAGCTTCAAACCTGTATGAATGTCTTTGTTCTGCAGAACACAAAGGAAGATATTCTCAAGAATGTGGGAAACAGAGCAGTTCTGGGGCACCTTTGACTTCCATAGTATTTTTTTCTCCTACTATGGAAGTCAATGGTGCCCCAAAACAGCCTGGTTACAAACTTTCTTCAAAATATCTCCCTTTCTGTTCGGCAGAACAAAGAAATTTATACGGGTTTGGAACTACTTGAGGGTGAGTAAATGATGACAGAATTTTCATTTTTGGGTGAACTATCCCTTTAAAACCCCTAGTGAGAATGTATAGACGTACCACATGCATTTGATTACGTAATATGTTACAGGGTTTGCGCAGTGCCACACAGACGGTGGGTTGTTTTGTGTCGCTGTACGTCATCTCTCCCAAACTCACGGGTCTCACTGTGGTCGTCCTGCCATGTCTGGTGGGGGCTGGCGCTCTCTTTGGTTCTTTTCTCCGTAAACTATCGCGCAAAGCACAGGAACAGGTAATGGCACTCTGGAGGAGAAGAGTAGTTTTGCTGCTCTTTGTGTGCTAACTCCCCAATTTTCCTCTTTTAGGTTGCTAAAGCTACAGGAGTGGCTGACGAGGCTCTTGGTAACGTGCGGACAGTGAGAGCTTTTGCCATGGAGGATCGAGAACTAGAGTATGATTACAGATTCTAGACTTTTTTCCACATTTTGTGTGTCGATCTTGAGGGGAAAGTCTTACAGCTTTTAACTGTGTATTTCATTAAGTGATATAATGCTAATTTACCAATCTACTTGAACTACCAAAATCTGCTTATTACCTTAAAATCCACTGGTAATCATGTGATGAATCATCATGAGTTCATCGTAAGTGGCCTGTTCATAAAACATGGCCGATACTTTTATGTACGTGTGTCATACACACAAAGACAAAACACCATCAGGGTAACACACAACACTAAAATAATGCAATAAACATGAACTAAACAACAGAAAATGTAACAAAAAAATGCTGTAAATTACATTACTTATTACTTACAAAAATATAATCAGATGTGATGTGATGTGTAATTTTTCTGTTTTTCACTCTGAATTATATGGTTAATAAATTATAAGGTAAATTATAAATTACGATAATAAATCATTTTTACTTGCAAAAATCATGCATTTGACAGTATTTTATAATAAGCCTACATGTAATGTGAATGTAAACCATTTACAATTTTTACTATAGCATTTTACATTTTTTCCTGAACAAATTACAACAATTTTTACAGTGGATGGTCTTTTTTTTTTGTCCAACATTGATGTACTAAAGCTGATATTTTCAGGAAAATAAAACTAATCAAAGCTTTTTTATTATTCAACAAAACCTAGCAGTTCTGATATTCACCTTCTTTCACAGGATGTATGCCGCTGAAGTCCAGAAATCAGCTGCGATGAATGAGACGCTGGGCACAGGAATTGCCGTATTTCAGGGCCTGTCTAATATTGTCCTGAACTGTGAGTAATGATGCACTTTCCCTGATTCACAACCAATGACCACATGAACTAGAGCTGTTAAATATTTCCCTTCTTCAACAGGCATTGTTCTAGGCACTATTTTTGTTGGTGGGTCTTTGATGGCTCGTAATGACATGTCGCCTGGTGATCTAATGTCATTTTTGATCGCCTCTCAAACAGTACAGAGGTGGGAGTGTGCAAAGAGTCTTAATTTACATTTGATCCTACACATAATTTAGAAGGAACTTACATTCAGCTGAACCAGTGTCTATAATATCAAATGTAATAGAATCGCTTCTCTCTCTCCATAGATCTCTTGCCAGCATTTCAATTCTCTTTGGACAGGTGACAAGACATTTCCAAGCATTCTGTTACTTCATATATATCGTATGTAATCTATGTGTGGTTTGTGTCAGATGGTTCGAGGTATGAGTGCAGGAGCTCGTGTCTTTGAGTACTTGGCTCTAGAGCCCACCGTTCCTCTCACCGGAGGAGGTCGTATCCCTCTCAAGTCTCTGACGGGAAGAGTTGACTTCATGAACATCAATTTCAGGTAGGTCTCTTGTTTGCTCTCATGCAAACATGACAAGGCCTGAATTTAATCTAAAGAGTTTCATTCTCTGTTATTTGATGTTTCCTGCAATGTTTCTCAGTTACCCAACAAGACCTGGAAACCAGATCCTTAATAACTTCAACTTGACTCTACCTCCCTATAAAACCGTCGCTATTGTTGGCGAGTCAGGCGGAGGTAAAGTATCTATCTATCTATCTATCTATCTATCTATCTATCTATCTATCTATCCATGTGTGTGTCTGTCTGTCTGTCTGTCTCTGTCTTATCTATCTATCAACTGTCTTATCTATCTATCAACTGTCTTATCTATCTATCAACTGTCTTATCTATCTATCAACTGTCTTATCTATCTATCAACTGTCTTATCTATCTATCAACTG